TTTGAGTTCATGAAATATGGGTGCCCTCTAGAGGCTGAATTACTTACAGAAAAAGTGATACACAGTACTCTTAGAAAAGGGGCTTCTTCATTAGAGAGGGATATGGATTACATCTAAAGAGAACCAACAAATGTTTCAGTCCTGTGTTTTATCAATTTTGATTCAGTTTAATTTACATAAATAAAACATACTTGTTTTAAGTGTGTAATTTGATGCGTTTCACAATTGTATAGACCATGTACTATACCACAATCAAAATATGGAACATTTCTATCAACCTCAAAAGTTCTTTTGTACCCCTTTTAGTCAGCCCCAGATGAGCAGTGCAATATGGAATAGAAATGGTGAGAAAAGACATCTTTGGCTTGTTCTTAATCGTAGGGGTCTTTCATCATGAAGTAGAAGGTAAGCCGTGGGTTATTCCTAGATGTCCTTTATCAGCTTGATGAATGTCCCTCTATTTCCAGTTTTCTGAGAGTTACTTTTATCATGAATAAATGTTTAATTCTATCAAATACTTTTTCTATGTCTGTTGAGATCATCACTGTTTTTTCTTCTTCAATCTGTTACTATGGTGATTACATTGATTATTTAATGTTGAACCAGACTTACATTCCCAGAATAAACCCCTCTTGATCATGATGTATTACACATATTTATACATATTGCTATTAAGTTTGCTATTGTTTTGACGATTCTTGTTACTACGTTGGTGAGGGATCTTGGTCTGTAGTTGACCTTTCTTGTAATGTTTTGATATCAGGGCAATGGTGGCCTTATAAAGTGAGTTAGGAAATGTTCCTTCTTCTATTGTCTGAGAGATTTGCATAAGATTGTTATTATTGCTCTCTTAAATGTTTGAGAGAATTCATCAGTGAAGCCTACTGCCTGAAGATTCTTTGTCACATGGTTATTAATTACTAATTTGTTTTTAAAAATCTATAGAGAGTTATTAAATTTTTAAATTTTGGGGGTCAGTTTTAGATGATTTGTGTTTTTAAATAAACCTGTCTATTTTATTTTAATAGTCAAATATACTGCATTAAAGCTGTTTATATTATTATTTTATTAACATTTTAATGCCTTTAGCATCTGTAGTGATATCCCCTCTTTTCATTCCTTATCATGACCATCTGTGAGCTTCTGAGGGAGTTAATTTTGCCCTACCTACTTTCTGCTAAGTTAGCCTTCCACAGTTTGGTGAACACTTACAGAAGACATGAGACTCCTGGACAGAGACAACGAAACTTGTTATGGCAAAAGTAGTTGCTAAAAATGACCAGTCCAGAAGGGAAATGAAGAAAATAATTTCATTTATAAAAGTTCATATGAAATACATAGTAATAAACCTAACCAAGGAGGACTTATACACTGAAAACTACAAAATGTTGCTGAAAGAAATTAAAGACACAGATAAACGGAAAGACATCCTGTGTTCATGGATCAGAAGACTTAATGTTACTAAGATGCCAATATACCCAAAGCAGTTTACATCACTAGATTTAATGAAATGCCTATCAAAGTCCTAACAGACCTTTTTTTGCAGAAATAGAAAATCCCATCCCCGAATTCATATGGAATCTCAAGGGACCCTGAATAGCTAAATAATCTTGGGGGAAAAAAAAAGAACAAAGTTGGAGGTCTCACATTTTCTGATTTCAAAACTTATTACAGGGCATATTGTTAACTTGGATTTGTGTATATTGTTTTATATTCCAATACTGTGTTAAGCTATTGAGAAACTGCTGTTCTTATCTACATTCCTCTGTACTTAAAGTGTTTTTTCCTCCTCCTGGCTCCTTTAAAAAATTTGTTTTCACTTTGTCACTGGTTTTGAGCAATTTGATTATGATATAATTTGGTATAGTTTTCTTCATGTTTCTTCTGCTTTGGGTTCACTGAGCTTCTTAGACCTGTAGGTTTATACTTTTCACCAAATTTGGAAAATATTTTGCTGTTATTTCTTTAAAAAGATTTTTGTTCTCCATCCCTTCTCTTTGGGGAACTCCAGTTATATTTGGTGCATTGAAGTTGTCCCAAGGCTTACTGATGCACTATTATATTTTTTAGCCTTTTAAAGAAAACACATTTCACCTTTGATAGTTTTTAGTGTTTCCTAATCTTTATTTCTGCCCCATCATTTTGCCAGCTGGAGGAAGGGACAGACTTATGGCCATATAGACAGCCCATACAAGAAAGAAGTGGAATTGTAGATAAGGAGGAATGAATAGACTAGTAAAAAGTGCTTTTGGTTCAACTGGTTGTACATTTTTTTTAAGACTTATTTATTTGAGAGAGAGAGAGAGAGAGAGAGAGAGAGAGCGCGCACCTGAGCATGAGTGGGGGATGGGGCAGAGGGGGAAGGAGACTCCCCACTGAGCAGAGAGCCCCGATGCGGGGCTTCAGACAGAGGATAGGGCAGAGCAATGACCAATGTATCTCCATATGAGACAGTTACATATTCTTCACAAGGCCAGATGACTAAAGAAAGCTTTGAAGTGATGTAGTTATGTTTTGAAATGTGGTGGTATAAATGGATTCCTTATAAACCTTCATAAACTACTTTTTAAGAAATTACTGAACACCCACTCTTTGCTCAATGCTATGCTAGGTACAATGGGGATATAAATGAAGTGGACTAAAGGGCATGCCTTCCTCCCCCATCTAGAGCACAGAATACTGCCTATGTTGCTAGACTGATAACTACTCCTGGGCTGGAATCCTTCCTATAGGGTAATCACTCCTGGCTGCTATCCTAGCCTAATCAGACTACAACTACCAGGGACCAACCTATAGCAAGACGAATGTTAGGACAACTGGTTCCTTGTAATGAGACTGCATACCAGAGGAACCCAGAAGTGTCTCATCAATTAGAGAGATATAAAGTTATTATAAGATTTGGGGAAGGGTAGAGGTTAGGTGAAATTTACATAAAGCAATATTTTGGTAGGCTCAAAGCAGAAAAGAGCTGTGTGTAAAGGGGTCAACATCAGGTTGGACTGCAAAGTGGACCCAGGGGCCTATTCCTTGGAATTGGTAAAGGTAAGATGGATGTGGAATGTGTTCAGAAATCCCTCATCTGAAGCTTTTTAGGTAGGTTGGAAATAAAGGCTGCTTCTTTTTTGAAATTGACTTAGATCATGCAGAATAGGATGTTTCATTCTTATTCATTTTTTTTAAACATCAAATTTTCTGACAGTTATGATTTTAGAGAACAAGGATTCTAAGTAAGAAAGCGGTGGTCAAAGGGATTGTGATGAAAATCACAGCTGCAGCCTGATCGTGAGAGAAATATTCTTTCCTTTCCCCTCCGCAGCTGGTTTTATCTGTCTCTTATCTGTGTCTGTTATTTGTAAAAAAAACCAAGATAACAGGTCCAAAATGGAGTTGCTTATGCTAAGCCCCACTTCACCAAACTGAGACTTAATGAGCGTAGAGGCCAAGTGCCGGCCAACACAAGATGGGCCACTTGGGCATGAACATTATTTTGCCTTAAAAACAATCCAACCCAGCAGATTCAGAAAAAGTTTTTCACTTCCCCCTCAACTGCCTGCTTTACCAGGAAGAGAGCTATTAATAGAGATTCCTCTTTACCTAAGAAACTTATCTGCATAATAGGGCACCTTTGTTTTCCAAACATCTCCTTTCACCTTCCTGTTAGTGGGTCTCTCTCCCTTTGTATCCTCAGACCCCTACCCCTCTCCTTAGCTCATATAAGCATCATGTTACCTGTCTTTGGAATTTCCAGGTCTGTGTGGATTCCCCATATGTATGCTATTAAATTTGATTCTGAGTCCCTGTACATAAGGTATTAAATTTGATTTTCTCCTGTTAATCCGTCTCATGTCAATTTGGTTTTAAGTCTGTCTAGAAGGACCTCCCTAACTCTTCCTCCCCATTAGTTTCCTTTGTCCTAGATATGGAATCTTAAACCAGCAACCAGGAATCACCTGATCAGCACTAGTTAGGTATTGTGACTGATAGATCCCTGCCATCCCCTAAAGGAAAGTAACTTTGCAATAACAAACCCACCTTTTTTGCTAGTGTAACTTTCTTGTTTTTCCTCCCTTCTGCCCAGAAAAGTCTTTCATTTTGTACAGCTCCTCAGAGAGCTTTTCAATCTGCTAGGTTGGATGCTGCCTGATTCAAATTGATTTTTGCTCAAAGAAACTCTTAATTTTTAAAAATATGCTTCAATTTGTCTTTTAACATATTCCAGCATAGTGAATCGTCAGTCTGACTTTTACTTTTTCAGAGGGAGTTGATATTTTGCTTCCTCCTTCGTTGTCAGTTCACCACACAATGCAGGCTCCTAAGCTGTGTTAACTTGGTCATCAACTCTGGAAAAGAAGAAACATTGGTCATTTTTTCCCTTCCAAAAGGGGAGATAAGGTAGAGCCATAGAAATCCTAAAGTTCACTCACACTCACACCTTTGTTTCTCTCTCCAGCTCCCAGGTATCCCAAGATGGTACTAAAGGTGTAGGAAGCAAAGAAGCGGTTAACATGCTTCTGGCTTTAAATCAATTCCACGTAGCATCGGAGGTGGCAGGACATTTCTGGCTGGGGTCAAAAGAGGCATGCTGCTTGGACTGATTAGTTTAGACACCTTACCTGTGGCCTCACTGTAGGAAGATCAGAGGTGTATCGGGTGGGTGAGAAGTCACACCGCTAACAGCCAGTCTCAGGGACGCACCCTTTCCCGCACCCAGGAGTCCCGCTCCCCATCCACGATCCTTTGCTCAGCCAGGGGCTTAGGTCCTGGCCCCGCCCCTAACAGTCCCGGAGTTTCTTTGGCCCCGCCCCCGACCGGCTCAGAGCTCTGTTTCTGGCCCCGCCTCCCGGCATCCTGTAGACCCCGCCCCCAGCCCTGAGCTTGGCTCCCGGCCCCGCCCCGGCATGGCGCCCAAAGCCGGCTGCGGGAGGGACCGGCTCTCCGGCCCGGCCGGGTAGGGGCGGAGCTCAGTGTGCAGCTGCGAAGGTGGAGCCTCCGCCCGGAAGCCGGCGATTCGCGGCCATCGCAATGCTGGCCCGCGGCTTCTCCCTTCTTGGTGACTGTGTGAGCCGCATGCTAGCGCAGGGCGGGAGCGCCGTGCTGCCGGGGGTCCCGGGAGCAGCCAGGCGCGTGTTCCGGGGCTTTCGGAGCAGCGGCGTGAGGTACGAGCGCCCGGGACGCTCGCTGTTCTCGGGTGTGGGTGCCGACGTGTGCGGAGCCGCCGGCTGCGGGAGGGGCGGCGGGGCGTGGGCCGCTGGCGCCTGCCGAGCTTAACCGCGTCAGGCCAGAGGCTCGGGCAGCCGCGCGGCGCGGCGCGGCTGGGGGCGGGGCCTGCCTAGGCTTCGAACTGGGCCTTGCGGGCCTTGCGGGCAGGTCGCGTCGACCTCAGTTCGGGCAGCCCGGATGTGGTCTGCTTTGGGCTCTGGCGCCAAAATATTCCTGTTTTGCAGGAGGTACAGTGGAGTGGTTTAGGAAGACATTTGAGGCCCTCAGGAAAGGCGAGGTGGAAACAGGTGGTCTGCGTGTTTCAAGTAGTTGGTTTTGTTTTGGTTATTGTTGTATTTCGTAAACAGGAGTGAGCGTTGTCTGGATGGTTTACTAGTGTTTGAATTTCTGAATTCCTTTGTTGATGGTAATTCTGAGGTCTTTTCCAACTCTAAAATTCGTAATGATTTCACAAAATCAGATACTAATCTTGATTTCTCAGTTTTTTTCTGTATGGCTCTTCCCAAACCTCTTCAATCTAAGATTGAAGTAATCAGTCTTAGAATCATTGCATCTCTTTGGACCCCGTCGCTGGCTAGTACATTACACGGACAAAACATGGTATGGTTTTAACTTCTGCACAGTGGCGCCCCGAACTCTTCACTTTTCCGCCATCTACTTGTTGGAGTTGCAAACTCAAACCTAAGCATCTAAAAATATATTCCCTTGACCCAGAGCCAGTGAGTCCAGAAGAGATTCTGTTTTCAAGACTTTCAGGACTTCCAGTAACACGTGTTCACTGCAGTTCTACGCGCTCAGAGATTGTGTCTTTTTCATCTTTTTGTATCACCAGTGAGCAGCACAAGTACCTGGAAGAAAGTAATAATCAGTAGCGGGAACATAGCTACTGCTTATTTAATTTAAATTGGTTGGCTCCTATTTTATATATGTATATTTAGTTCTCAGTCTTGAGTGACTAAAATAAAAAGATACCTATTTCCAATAGGGTTTACTTTAGATGTAGTTTCTGTTGATTAGGTCTTGCACGAAGATATGTGAGACTGTAAGTGATTCTGAGTTCTGGTTAATGAAGCTCTCTGGTGTTTGAAAGAATTTGCCAGTTGGTTTGGAATAACCAACTGTACTATCTAGGAAAAGCAGATTGTGTAAAATTTTGTTTGAATTGCAGAATTAAAGGTATAATGTACTATAGTAACAGTATTTTTTGGATTTCAGTTGTTTTAGGGCTTCTTTCCAGAGTGAGGATAGCCTTTTCCAGATTGTGTAAGTTGACGAATTTCCCTTTGTCAGCTTGATGTAAAGAACCCATCACCTCATCCTCTCCATATACTTTGAATGGGAGTCAACAGTTAGAACCCAAACATTTCCTGGTAGCCACTTGCCTCCTACGTACGTGGCACAAGCAAAGGGATAATTCAGATCTTGTAAATTGTATTTAATGGTCTCTTTATAATTTAAAAGATGAATGCAACTGTTTTGGAAAGCTTTTTATAAAAGATTTTATTTATTTATTTGTCAGAGAGAGAACGTGAGCGTGGGCAAACAAGCAGGGGGTAGCAGCAGGCGGAGGGGGAGCAGGCTTCCTTCTGGGCAGGGAGGCTGACTCGGGACTCCATCCCAGGACCCTGAGATCATGACCTGAGCTGAAGGCAGATACTTAACCGACTGAGCCACCCAGGCGTCCCTGGAAAGCTGTTCTTAATATAAAGAAGTATTACTTTCAACCCAACTGCTTTCAGCCCCATTTGATATAGGTTATGACTATAAAAATAAATAATACTTTTGGTAGTTTTTATTTTCTTAAGGCAATGCTAATCAAGTTAGGTTAGGATGGTGTTTTTGACATACTCTTGGCACTGAATACCACATATAAAGGTGAGGTTGGCTGTCAGGTTGAGAAACACCTGTGGACTGTTGGGTCTCGGGTGGGGAGGAACTCGGACAGTGTGTTGATGCTTATTGGTGTCTCTTTTCTCTTCTAGGACCAGCAGAGAGAAGAGATTCCATCTTCCAGAGGTCGCCACTGTCTGCCTCCCCACTTGTCCCCATCCTCAGTCATCTTTTTAAATAATGTAGTTACACATTAGTTGTCTAGTTCTTCATAGTGAATGTGGTTTAATCAGACGTCAATCCTGTTGACTTGAAATTGAGCCTTAGTGTTGGTTTTTTTTTTAAAGATTTTATTTTATTTATTTGACAGAGAGAGACACAGTGAGAAAGGGAACACAAGCAGGGGGAGTGGGAGAGGGAGAAGCAGGCTTCCCGCGGAGCAGGGAGCCCGACGCGGGGCTCGATCCCAGGACCCTGGGGTCATGACCTGAGCCAAAGGCAGACGCTTAAGGACTGAGCCACCCAGGCGCCCGCCTTAGTGTTATTTTTATTGAAAATTGTCTTGAGTTTGATAAACTCTTTTAAATTAACAGATTTATTGTCAGAGCCTTAAAAAAAAAACGAAAAAGCATTTTTGATTATTTTTCATATTTTTGACTAGATACCTATAGTAATGGAACATATAAGTACTTTAATGAAATATTTAATTGGAATTTCAAGAAATAGTCTTTGGCAGAATTTGAAAATTACAAAATGTTGATGTATCATTTAAGCTTTCTCTCATTTTTAAGATTTACAGTGAGTTTTTTTCTTATTTCCTCATGAGAAATTAGATCTTATTAATTGGAAGAAAATATATTTACTGTCAAAGAAATAAATAAGCCCTTATATTTGTTGCAGCTTATTGTTTTTTTTTAAGATTTTATTTTTTTTTTTAAGATTTTATTTGTTTATTTGAGAGAGAGAGAATGAGAGATAGAGAGCACGAGAGGGAAGAGGGTCAGAGGGAGAAGCACACTCCCTGCTGAGCAGGGAGCCCGATGTGGGACTCGATCCCGGGACTCCAGGATCATGACCTGAGCCGAAGGCAGTCGCTTAACCAACTGAGTCACCCAGGCGCCCCGCAGCTTATTGTTTCTTGAAATGAATTATCTAAATAGCCAAAAAGTTAAAAATAAAAAAAATTATAGTGATTAAATTTTTACTATTTTTGCTTTTTTGTGTGAGTTTACAAATGAAAATGTCGCTGGATTATAAATATCACATGAATCTTTGGCCCAGTGTTTTCAGTGTATGGAGCTAGGCAGCAGCATTTCCCATTTGGAGGGGATGTTACACACCTTATACGTTAATGCCGTGCTCAAAGCAGATTTGCAGGTATCCTACAACAGGGACTTCCTAAAGCTGCATCCTACCTGAACTTATTTTCAGTAATTAAATGGATATCCTAAGCGTTTGTTCCATGTTTATCCTGTTGCAAAGTGATTCCCAAACTTGTTAATTTGGCAGATTCTCTTTGTCCCTTCCTCCTGATATGATGCCTTTTAGTATTTGTAAAATTTTGTGTCTGGCCTATAGCTCTTGATGGAAACCTCCTCACCTTTCTTTATGTCTCATTGACAATGGCTGTGTAATTTTTGCAACTAGACCAGCATTTAAAAAAAGAAAACAAAAAACTACAATTTTGGAGTTATTAAAAAATACTGATTTATGTTAGTTAACTATTCATGTCTTGCAGAGGGAGTAGTTGGAATTTTATAATTGAAAAAAGACCAGATTTCTTCAGTAAGGCTGTTCATTTTTATTCAAACTCTCCCCTCTAGTAGTCATTCAGTATTTCTGTCTCTGCAACAGAGTTATTTGATGTAAAGATCCTTTTATCCTCATGTGAAGCTTGAAGGACCCAGACTCCAGTTAGGACCATTACTAAAGCTGATTTTTCATAGACTGATTTCAACCTGATACGAGTTAGTTCCGATGACTAGCAAAAGCAGTTTCTCAAAATCATATTTTGTTGGGAAATGTGATAGTGTGGTTTTCCTATCTTAATGCCTTACCTATCTAATGAGATAGCTATCTGGCTACAATGTTGATTTCTAAACAGTTCTTAATGTCATTTTAAGTATAGAACCTACATATTTTGCCACTTAGTGTTTTTGTATCTGAGTTTTATGTCTGTGTCCCAGCTGTTCAGAAATAATGTGTTCTAATGTAATGTCTCCAGAATCAAGTTTTCTGTTAAAATGGGTCAATAGATGAAAAAAGACTAGTATTAGATGAACCATGAGAGACTGTGGACTCTTGAGAAATAAACTGAGGGTTCTAGAGGGGAGGGGGTGGGGGGATGGGTTAGCCTGGTGATGGGTATTAAAGAGGGCACGTATTGAATGGAGCACTGGGTGTTATATGCAAACATGAATCATGAAACACTACATCAAAAACTAAGGATGTAATGTATGGTGATTAACATAACATCATAAAATTAAAAAAAAAAAGACTAGTACTAATCTCAGATCTTGTTACTCAAGTCATGGTGTTAGGAATAATTAAGCAGTTTCTTTATGACCTGAATCTTTGTTTTTCATATGTTATCTTTTCATGTTAATACCTTGATTGGATGATTAAAAACATCAGGAAAAAACAAAAATGCCACATAATTTTCCATGGTAATATACTCTCCTGGAATTCTGTGGAGCCCAGTGACAGGTTTGAAAATAGTTTGGCTTGGAGATGATTAAGTTGTGGAGGGAGGTTTAAAGAGATTGGAATTTGGGAGAAAATTGAACTGTCAGTGAGTGGGATAAATTAATGATTAATAATAAATGAGATTTGCTATTAGGTGCCTTTTGGACCAGATAAAAAATACTTAAAAGATAGAAAACTTTGTGGTCATAATGAAGATAGAAAATTTTGTGGTCAGAATGGAACATAATCTAAACCTAAATTAGTGTCAGAGAACTCAGGGTTGGGTGTTATCCAAGAATGCTTATCCAAGCTGCTCCACTTAACATTACATCATGTCCATTTTCTGTGTTGCTGTTGTTTTTACTAATATTTTATTGGTTGCATTATATTACATTAAGTCAATTGGTCATAACTTACATAA